TAAGGGTTTTATGGAGAATTATGAGAAAAAGGGATTTTGGCATTCATGGCCTAAATCTAGTTGTGGGAACTCTGATGTTATGGTGTAGTGGTAAGTATTCCTGACAGTTAGAGCATAGATATGAGAAAGGGAAACCTTAGGCCCTCGTGGCCAAAACCTTGAATTGTTATATGTCTGACCCTGAAGGAATAAGAATATTTGAATATGAGTAAATCTAATGCCTTAGGGTGTAATTGAAGGAAAAATTGTGATTTAGGGCTGAATATGTTTCGGGATTGGCCTAATAAACCGTAGGTTTTGTGCCTTTATCGCCGTAGGACCTTAGGGATGATTTAGGGATGTTTTGGGGGCATTGGGTAAGTGAATCGTAGAGCCTTTTGGGTAGAAATCAGTTCTGATGCGTAACAAAATTTGCTGTCATCCAACAGTTCGCCTAGCGAACAATGTTGTTCCTAGACTCGCCTAGCGAAGAATCCTTCGCCTAGCGAAGAAACTTGCCCCAGACTCGCCTAGCGAACAGGCCAGCGAACGTGGCAGAGTTTTGCAAATGTTGATCATGTACAGTGATGCCTTGATGTTTGATTATGTGATTTCTGGGATGAATTAACATGAGTATGACTGTGAGTTTCATGTGATGCATACATGATGACATGATGATTTATATGACTTAATATGATGATATTACCATGACTTTGATGAATTATATGATGATATGAGATATGATGATGATTGACATGATGATGAATATGATGAATGATAATGTACATATGCTGTTATATGAGGATGATTTGTGACGCGTGCATCATGCATTCATGTGCATCCGAACTTCGGTTCAGGACCTTGATTACTTTGGCTTCAATCCCATTGTGTGGATGTGAAGTGTTTTGATGTGCTCTGGTTCTCTAGCAGAATCGATCCTATTGATGGGGATCTATGGAGGGTTGATGGCCCAGTGTCCATCGCGCTGTGATGATTGGTACCACATGTATTGAGTTTATATTGCATTTGCATTTATGAGCCTTTTGTATGAATTATGATGTTGTGGCCTTTGAGGCTTATTGAAGGATATGAATGTGTTGAATATGACGCCGTTTATATGTTGATTTTTATACATTGGTTATTATGAATTATTTTACTCACCCTGCCTGTTTGAATGTTACCTCCACGTGGGTAACGTGCAGATGATCAAGTTTAGTTGTGGACGCCGTCGAGGAGTATTTTTGAAGTTTTAAGTTTTTAGCCTTTTGGTTAGCTTAGAGGGTCTTGCTCTGATATGTAACATCGGGTTGGGTTCTTTTGAGTTAAACTATATACTGTTGAGTTATTTTACTTATTTTTCCCTGATGAGGAAACCTTGATTTATGTCTTTGAGTTCCGTTGCTTTGTGCGAATTGATTATTTTGAGAAAACCCGTTGTAACACTTCTTCACATCACTCTTGCACTCACTGACACATTGACCTAACTCATCATATTTATAACACTTAAGATGAGTAGAAGCACCTCCCCCACTTGGCCTCTTACCATCAACAACTCTCTGTTTATCCTTATCAGCTGAGCATTATATGGCTTTTAACGATTCACATTCTGCTTTCCCCTCTTCTCACTCATACTCTTATAATGAGTTGACCGAGCTTTACTATCCTCATCATAAATTCTACAGCTATCCACCAACTTTAGGAATCTCATGATCTGTCGATATCCAACCACCTGCTTGATATCAAGACGCAAACCATTCTCAAATTTGACACAGTTTGAGAACTCAGCAGTCGCCTCACTATAATGCGGATAGAACTCAGCAAGTTTCAGAAATTTGACATCATACTCAATAACAGGCAGACTATCCTGCTTCAGCTCCAGAAACTCAATCTCCTTCTTCCTATGAACATCCTCAGGAATTCCCTACGAAACACAACCTAGGTAACAACTTCACCCGATGTCCCCAACATCTGAAGAGTGCTGACCCACCAGTCATCAACCTCTTCAACTAGAATATGAGTACCAAACCGTACTTTCTGCTCTTCAGAACTATTCATCACCCAAAAGATCCTTTCAATCTTTTTTAGCCACGCATGCGCTCCATCCAGATCATACCTACCCGTGAAAATAGGCAGATTGTTCTTCTGGAACTTTCCCAAGTGATGAAACTCATCGATCTCACTAACATTAGGCTAATTTTGAACAGTCTGCAAAGCAGAAGTAATAACAACATCGTTTCTTCTGACCATATTTGTTTTTCCACCATAAACAACAATAATGGTTAGAAGACAACAAAGACATTATTCAACTGTCACAACACTACGACTCAAAAACTTGGCCGGACAGACCGACTTGCTCTGATACCACTAATGTAACACCTCAAATATACCTCGCGTACTTTAAATAATTAATCAGAGTAAATTACATCAAAATTATATTTAGGATGTCATAGAATTCACACAACAACTGCTCATATAACAAGATATGTAACACATTCAATTTATTGAAAATTATTTATAATAACTATAAGAACTCAACATGTCTGAAACATTAAACTTTCATTGAACAGCGAAAACATCAACATAAACAATTATTCATGGTATAATTTATCCTTTAAAATAACATAAACAACAAACATTCTAGAGATATCCAAAAATCTCTACCAACACAACAAAACACAACATTCCCTGACCCTGGTGTTACACATCAGAGCAGACGCCGTCATTAAAAGGAAAACATAAGACTTCATCTTTTACTCACTTTTATTCCTCTACTGCGAGTTATCTGCACGATGCCCATGTAAATGCAACATTCAAACAGAAGGGATAAGATATCATAATTAGATAAAGAAAAACACAATAATTAAGCAAGCATTAGATTATTCATGCATAAACACACATTCCACACCATACAACCATACAATAGCAGTTACAACCAACATGTCAATAAATCCAACACAACAACAAACACAACTAAATGCAATGCATTAAGACTCACAACTCGACTTAATGCATGTGGTAATATCGGTTTATATTTCAGAACCCGATCCCTATTTCAGGATCATAATTCCCGTCAGAATTTCCATAATGTCGCTCATACCCTACATGGCACACGATCACCTCAACAACAACAACAACAACAATGATATGATTCTACAATTAGAATCCGAATAAGACGCTCACACCCTACATAGGCACACGACTTATCTCACAACTCACGCAACCATGAAATGCATGACAATAACAACAATGACTGTCTAAACAATGCAATATGACACTACAGGCCAGCAATAACAACATGATGTCATGCAATCTAACAACAACGACATACAACATAACAAGCATCCACAAGGCATTTAAAGTCATATCACACCACAACATAATGATAATAATGCGTTTAATACAACCAACAACATAATGATTCAACTTCTACCACCAAAACTATTTTTATACAAAAGTTTGACACAAAAGCTTCTCGATGCTTTGAACAACACTCTAATCGGACTCCCGGAATGAAAGTTATGAATTTTTAAAGATTTTCAAAAATTAGTCTTAGTGTGGTTACCCCAAATGAGGTAACTGGTTACACCCTTAACAACCAGCCAAACAACGCAAAATAAACACAGTGTAACCGATTACCTAAATCAGGGTAACCGATTACACTTTCACAGTTTCTCCAAAAACGTTGTTTTTCAACAATGTAACTGGTTACCCTATATTTGGTAACCGATTACACCTGCAGCAGAATCACTTTTCTGCTGCTTATTAGTATGAAAAGTGTTTTTTAACCCACTCCAAAATCGCACTTTTCATAAAAAAACGTGTAACCCATTATTCTATTAAAAAATCAGTTTTTATCAACACAAAAACCCTAATTTCTTTCCCCAAAAGGCTCAAAACAATCGTTCCGACTCTGACTCGCGATTTCATACAACAACACAACAACGACATCAATCAGCCATCAATTAAACGAATCAACAACAATAATAATTGCATCAATTTCATCAACACAACAGTCCCAATATCAACATACAAGGATCAACGGAAACAATCAATTCAACAAATATCATTCAATCGAAATTCTGAACAACAAGAAGAGAAATACAAAACCTACATAATAGAATCTACCCACCATAATCATCATACTAACCCTTAGATAATTAGAACCCCATCCTTACCTTAGAGTTCTTGCAATGATTTCCTCTTCCTCAACAATGGAGTTTCTTCTTCCATTGCTTTAGCTCTCACTTCACATCCTTTCTTCCTCTTTCTTCTAAAAACACATTTTGACCAAGATTCCCTCTCAACTTCCCTTTTTCTATTATTCTCATAATATTATTATTATTATTATTATTATTATTATTATTATTATTATTATTATTATTATTATTATTATTATTAATTCTACAAATTAAATAATAATAACTATCCACTAATTATTTAAATTATAATTTTTATCCATGTGATTTCTATAATTTTCATCTAGACTAGATTCAGACTTTAAAAGATCGATCCTTAGGCTAAGTTTAGACCTTACAAGACGCAGGACAACAAAGCACAAGCAAGAATCTCTAACTAACCTAATCTTCCTTTGCTTTTAGTCCTGCAGCTATGGTTTTATGCCTTGCTTAAACACTTTTTTCTTCACTTTGGCATTGCTGTGCACACAAGAAAGTAATAATGTTACTAAAATGCACATATAATAACTAAGTAACTATTACATGACAGAAAGTTGAGAATCTTTTAAGCTGTTTTTGCAAGTTAGGAATCAAACAAACTTTCCTTAATCTCACTATACAAACATATATAACAAGAATGTCAGCTTCAAGTTAGACAATCTCGGTAGCTTTTTCGTATCGCTAAAGCTCATGCAGCTTCTCCATGAAATTATTCTTTGCTTAGCCAAAACTTCGCCGTCTTTTATCTATTTCACTCTTGCTTCAAACTCAAATCTCCAGTTACTTCCAATAGATATCACATAGCTGCAACAACTTGTGGCAAATACACACTAGAAAGAAAAGGATATGAAACTGATAGTTGAGGTTATTAATGCTCATGATCTTATGCCAAAAGATGGCGAAGGATCAGCTAGTACCTTTGTTGAAGTAGACTTCGAAAACCAATTGAGCAGAACAAGAACTGTCCCTAAAAATCTTAACCCTGCTTGGAATCAAAAACTCGTCTTTCATTTAGACACATCCAAACCTTACCATCACAAAACTATTGAGGTTTCTGTCTACAACGAGAGGAGACAACCGATACCTGGCCGAAACTTCCTTGGAAGAGTCAGAATTCCTTGCTCAAATATCGTTAAAGAAGGCGATGAAGTGTATCAGATTTTGCCGCTGGAAAGTAAGTGGTTTTTTTCATCTGTTAAGGGTGAGATTGGCCTAAAAGTTTACATTGCATCAGAGTCCAAAGCTGAAGATTTTTTTACTCCCACTTTCACTTCAGAGCTAGAAAAACTATCTCCTTCGGATCCAAAACAGGCTCTAGAATCCGTTGATACTAACCTTCTTTCAGCCACAGAAACATTAGAAGCTGATCTGAAAGGAGAAGATCCTGCACTTGATATTCCAAAAGTAACAAGAGAAGAAGAAGAAAAAGTATATCCTGTTGCTGCATCCAATTACTCCATTGAAGAAGATCAATCTAGCAGCATCGGTATTGAGATAGAAAGCAAAGAAGCTTTACAACGTATATATCCGCAACTAGATAAACATCAAGTTCACCAGCAACCAAGGATTTCAATAAAGAAAAGACCACAAGATAATCTATTCACAATGCGTTCAGTTGATCCTCATCAAGTTCAATCTAATCATGCCGAAAACTATAATCACAACAGTGACTCCAACATGCAACCAAGGATTTCAATCAAGAGACGGCCGCGACCACAAGGTACTCCTCCATCAACAACATACTCAGTTAAACCACAAGTCCAGCTTGGGTATGATGAAAGATACAATCTCAAGGGAACCAACCAACAGCCAAGGATTATAGTAGAAACACCACGAAATGTTTCTTCACCCCCAAGGCACCATGTAGATCCGCAAGTTCACACTAGCAATGATGAAGACTACGATCTCAAGGAAACCAGTCCACAGATTGGTGAGAAATGGCCTAGTAGTGGAAGAAAATGGATGAGTGGTGCTGAAAGATCCACTAGCACACATGACCTTGTTGAGCAGATGTTTTACCTCTATGTCCGTGTTGTGAAAGCAAAGGATCTTCCACCAGGAACCATCACCTCAAGCTGTGATCCTTATGTGGAAGTGAAGCTAGGGAACTATAGAGGAAGAACAAAGCATTTGGAGAAGAAATTAAATCCAGAATGGAACCAAGTATTCGCTTTCTCCAAAGACCGGATTCAATCTTCGGTTCTTGAAGTTTTTGTGAGAGATAAAGAAATGATTGGAAGAGATGATTATCTAGGAAGGGTGATCTTTGACCTCAATGAGATTCCAACAAGAGTTCCACCAGATAGTCCATTGGCTCCTCAATGGTACAGACTCCAACACTTGCGAGGCGAAGGCATGGCGAGAGGCGATATTATGCTTGCAGTTTGGATGGGAACACAAGCTGATGAAGCTTTCTCAGATGCTTGGCATTCTGATGCTGCCACTGTCTATGGTGAGGGTGTTTTCAACATCAGATCAAAGGTTTATGTCTCTCCAAAACTATGGTATCTACGTGTCAATGTCATTGAAGCTCAAGATGTTATCCCGAATGACAGAAACCGGTTACCGGAGGTTTCTGTGAAAGCTCAATTAGGATGCCAAGTACTGAAGACAAAGATTTGCTCCACCCGGACAACTACTCCGCTCTGGAATGAAGATTTGGTTTTTGTTGCAGCTGAACCATTTGAGGAGCAATTGACAATAACCGTGGAGGATCATGTGCAACCTTCAAAAGATGAGGTACTAGGGAAGATAAACTTACCATTGAACCTATTTGATAAGAGGCTAGACCATAGAACGGTTAACTCTCGTTGGTTTAACCTCGAGAAATATGGTTTTGGAGTCTTAGAAGGTGATAGAAGAAATGATCTTAAATTTTCGAGCAGGATTCACCTTAGAGTTTGCCTTGAAGGCGGATACCATGTCTTAGATGAATCCACATTGTACATAAGTGATCAAAGACCAACAGCAAGGCAGCTATGGAAGCAGCCTATCGGAATACTCGAGATAGGCGTCTTAGGAGCAAAAGGGCTTCTCCCTATGAAGATGAAGGATGGACATGGTAGCACAGATGCATACTGTGTTGCCAAATATGGTCAGAAATGGATCAGAACTAGAACACTTTTAGACACTTTCAATCCAAAATGGAATGAACAATACACATGGGAGGTTTATGATCCTTGCACTGTCATAACATTAGGTGTTTTTGACAATTGCCATTTAGGTGAAAAAGCTCCTAGTGGAAGTTCAATCAAAGACTCAAGAATCGGAAAGGTAAGGATCAGGCTTTCAACACTTGAAGCAAATAAAATTTACACCAATTCTTTTCCACTACTTGTTTTACACCAACACGGAGTTAAGAAAATGGGCGAGCTTCAACTTGCAGTGAGGTTCACTGCACTTTCACTAGCTAACATTTTTCATATCTATGGCCAACCTTTGCTTCCAAAGATGCATTACTTACAACCTTTCACGGTCAACCAAATCGATAACTTAAGGTACCAAGCAACGAATATTGTAGCCACGAGGCTCGGTAGAGCTGAACCGCCTCTCAGAAAGGAAGTAGTTGAGTACATGTTAGACGTTGATTCCAACATATGGAGCATGAGAAGAAGCAAAGCTAACTTCTTTCGCGTGATGTCGCTTTTCTCCAGCTTGATCACAATTGGAAGATGGTTAAACGATGTCTGTCATTGGAAGAATCACATCACATCAATACTAGTCCATATCCTGTTTTTGATACTCACATGGTATCCAGAACTGATACTCCCAACTTTTTTTCTCTACATGTTCTTGATTGGCTTATGGAACTATCGGTTTCGGCCTAGACAACCGCCTCACATGGATACTAAACTCTCATGGGCTGAATCTGTTCACCCTGATGAACTTGATGAAGAGTTCGACACATTTCCAACATCAAGATCACACGATACCGTGAGAATGAGGTACGATAGGCTTAGAACGGTTGCAGGTAGGATTCAAACAGTTGTTGGTGACATAGCTACACAAGGAGAGAGATTTATGTCTCTCCTGAGCTGGAGAGACCCCAGAGGAACTACACTCTTTGTGCTGTTTAGTCTTTGTGCAGCTGTGATTTTCTATGCAACACCATTTAGAGTTGTGGTCTTGGTGACAGGTTTGTATCATTTGAGACACCCAAAGTTTAGGAACAAACTGCCTTCTGTCCCAAGTAATTTCTTCAAGAGGCTTCCTGCAAGAACAGATAGTTTACTGTGAATCTGTTTTACAATAATAATAATATAGTTTCAGTGATCTGTGTTGTATACATATAGAAATAATTTGCAATTTATTCAAAATATCTATCAAATAAAATCATATAAAAAGAATGTAACTGTGATTAGAAAGAGGCTGAAACTACTTGATGTCAGAACTGATCCTCAAATCAGATTAGACGGTCCAGTGAACCGGATACTAGTGGTGAAAACCAAAAAAAAAAATCATATAAAAAGAAAGATTACATAGAATAATTGAATCTTAAATTATTATATTGAAAAATGTGAACACTCTAATACTCTTGAATTTAGTTGGTTATTAATAATGTTTTTTTTGCAAAACAATGATATAATATGTGATGTCAAATTTTAATATTATTTAATTTTAAAATAAATTAAATTTTTTTAATAAAAAATACCAATGGAACAAAAAGGAAACAAGCTTTTGAGAATTAAATTTCTAGCAAGTCTATCAACACTAGCATTCCCTTTAAGTAAAGTGTGAACAATGACAAGCTCTCACTCTTTATGAATAAGATATTGAATAGAATTCACCAGAGACACATAAGGATGAGTAGGAGATGTTTATCGTGAAAATTAATAAACAAGCGTTGATCTATAAATATTGGTTAACGTGCAGGATCAACTAGTAAATCGTAGGACATGTGCTTAGTGTTTTCATTTTAATGTTTGAGAAATAATGGATGCTTCGACAACATTCACGTTTAGAAAATAGTTTGCTTTAATGAAATAAAAGGGATTATGACAAAAGAAGGATCGAAAGCGCAATAAAATATGCAGAAAGTAACTTGCATAAAAATAAAGACTAATTTCTAAGCAAAATGATAAACTGACTTTTATTAAAATGTAAGCAAATAACTGGTGTTTATCAAACGTACATGTTCTCAACAAGCTCGTTTCTCTATATACAGGTACTTTGAGTGATTTTGTACAAACTTGAATACACACACAATTCTAACACTAAGACTTCCTATTTATATTGAATCAAAATAACTGCCTATAATGACTTTTCTCTAAAAAGAAGACAAATGACACTCGGGATGCCTTCGACTTTCCAATGTACTCCACGTGTCCTTCTTTCGAAATCTGGATAAGGACAACATTCCCTCCTTGATTCAAATTCAAAATTCAAGTCAAAAATAACATCTGTAACATCCCGTCGAAATACCATTTCAATACTTAGGAAAATTTTCTAAGTCCACTTAGTCATCTTTCCTTTCGTAAGAAACGTCTTCGACTGAGCTTCCAACATCGAACTTACCTAGTCGAAATTCATCATAACTTGGCAAAAATTTCCTTTTCCCTTATTTGTTACATGAATTAAACCAGACGTCGAATTAAGAGCCAACAAATTTCCCCCTAAAAATGTCCATTCGGACAACTAATGGAGAAAATGACATTTTTTTAATAACATGATTCGACATCATAGACAATTCGACGTCATAAACTATTCATATGACTCAGAATAATTGTGATGTTAGGGTCATCACGACACCTTTTCTAAAACGTCTCTTTACTCCCATGCCTAAATATTTTCAACTATCACGTTTCTAGTCCCTAGAAGATCGTGGGTCAGAAACTTAAATGCCACTGTCTCATCACGTCATCTCCAAGTAACACGTATCCCACGACTTTGTCACCATTAATAAGGTATAGTAGTAGTGCATAGTAACAGTTTCACATCAGTTCACCTATAAAAGAGTGAAAATGTTACTATTTTACTTTTTCTTTTCATTTTCTAAATTTCTTGAACCGCATCATCTTCAAACTTCATCTTTCTCCCAAATTTTCTCTACACTCATTGCAACAATGGCTTCTGCTTCAACAACTTCCAAGGAAACCAGCAAGGAAACAAAAGGCTCCCAAAAGTAAAAAATAACTCGCCCCAGTTCACAGGATGTTAGGTTCAAACTTGGTTGGAAATCAGCAATAAATCCCCGAACCTCCAAATGAGGAAGAAAAACGCAGGATTTATCAATCCCAGGTACTCATCCCTATTCTTATATTTGGTAAAACGCATGCCATGCTAGACCCTTTACCAGATCTAAATGCTGATCCTATTAAAATTAAGGAGTTTTTTTCCAGCTTATCACCGTTACAAACCTATAGCAAACGGTGTAAGACCTATGACTGATAAGGAAGTTCTGATTGATGAAAAATCTAAGGTAGACGACCAAGGTTCACCTTCGACCGTAGCCTCTAGAGACACCATCAACTTAGAGTACATGAATAATAATTTTAGGGTTTTCAGGTCATGCCCTCTTTCGAAAGACCCTTATGACTACTTAACTTGGCTAGAAAAGATAAAAAAAAAGCCAAGTCCCAAGTTTGGAAGAAAATGGGCATTTATGACCTTATTCAATTGTCGAAAGTAGGATCAGGTTGTTGTCCTTCGATGCTCTATTTCCCTTTACTTCTGGAACAACACTTACAACAACTTCCATCTCCCTTGTGGAATGGTTACCCCAACCCTATTCGACGTAGCTGCCATTACTGTCTTGAAACCCATTGGAGTAGATTATGACCCCAATCTCTTAGCTGATGAATAAATAGGTTTCAACACTAGCAAAACAGCTTTCATCACTTACATAGCCTATTAGCACGATAAAGAAACCACAGAGGTTTTCGACCAAGAACATGTTGCCTTCTTAGCTCCCTGGCTCTCGCGCTGTGTTTTTTTTTTGTTCAAGGTCTCTTTTAGTGGTGAAGAGGTACTTAACCATGGCGAACCAATTGCATGCTAGACATGACCTTTGTCTCAGCGAAATTATCTTGGCTAATATGTATGAATCCCTTGGAGAAGACGTCACGATGTTGAAGAAAATCAAGACGAAAGGAAGCTTGCTTCTCTCTAGACCTTTCTAGCTACTACAGCTATGGATGAATGCCACTTTCGAAGCACCGCTTCCTGGTCGAAACCCTATCAATAAAGCTTCTGTGAAAGATAGAAGAGTTGAAGGAATAAGGCTTACGCTGTTAACTCCCAATGATGAAGGGATGAGTCTTCAGCAAACATTGACTAGTTATGTAATGATGTTTGTGAAACGTCACAATTTCACTTCCAACATGGCCCCTTTTGCAAATAGGAAAGTGGGCCCTGAATGGTTTATAAGAAGGTTTCCTCCTGAATCGAAGGAACAAGATGGAGAATCTCTCGATATCTGGGAATCCTTCCTGACGCCAAGATTATTAGCTTCGAGGCTCAATTCTTCCAAACTCCGAATTGCTCTTGTCAACTATCAACCAAATCTTGTCTCTTGACAGTTTGATTTGATTCAGATTAAACCAAAACCTCTCTTCCCTAAGAAAGGTTCATTGATCCATTACAATATGTGGCATAATGAAGCAGAGTGTAGCAAACTGCTAGCCAAGTTTTCTAACCTCACAGAGTCTGATGTTGTGGCCTTCAAACTGTATTTCCTCTGCACCAAGGAGTTTGACGAATGGTGGAGGGAATACTATAACATAGAATTTTTTTATGTGCCCTCTTTCAATCTTCAACTAACTAGAGCTTTTACCCTTGTACAGGACAAAGTGAAGAAAGGTACTTCAAGGCATATCAAGGAGATCCAAGCATTTTAGAAACACTTTGAAACTTCCTACATGCCAAATGGGCTTAGTTGAACCATTAACGAAGAAACGGTAACCTTAAAAGAAAAATTTACTAAGAAATTGGATGATTTAAAGCTTCCTTCGTACATTCGACCTGATCAACGTTACGAATTAGCTTTTAATCTTTATATAATTCCCTTGACTGCCAACTGCTGATTTTGGTGTGGCTTTTAGCCCTCCATTTCCAGACTGGTTCGTCTATGGGAATTTTATGAAAAATCTTCGCCAAGACTACCAAAAACATGCTAAGCGAGTGGTTCCGACTAAGTACACCTTGGACAATTTCAAAGGCCACCTTCATATTGGCATATAATACGTTCGCATGGAGTCTCCAATATATGAAGGTGTGGAATGGGAGGTTCTTCGATAATACTTCTTTCCTTTTCATTTATATTTTCCTTCTTGCTTATATTAACTGCATTGCTTTTTCTTGCAGCTGTGAAAATTCCAACCAAGAAACCCATTCCTGTCGAGAAATAACCCGTCGAAGAAGATGTAGAAGATAACACCAAAAAATCTACAACAAAGGTGAATCTTGTGTTTCTCATTGCTTTCTTTTTATTATTGTTGCCTACTCATTTTATTGTCTAAAATATGATATACCTTATCTTACTAGGGAATTCAGATACCTCTTTCGACACCTAAAAAGAGAAAGCAACAAGAACCTGAGGTTCAAATACTTGAACCGATGATAGAGATGTTTCGTCGGATCAAACCAAACACCTCAAGAAGAAAAAGAGGAAAATGAAGATTACTGATGCAAGCTTTCAAGTAAAACCAACCAGATTACTTATGACAAAACCTCCCACCCCAAGGATATTAGAAGTTGATGCCACACTTGCTAACAAAGAACCAGTCAACAAGCAGAATCCTGATCAGGTAGAGAGTGATAACTCTAGCCCTAAGACTGAAAATCTTAAGGTATACAATTTATTCTTCGTTTTGAACTTTATAGTTATCTTCGGCTAACATGCTTCTAACATGTTTTAATTTCTTCTTCTTAGAGTGCCAAAGATAGTCAAGGGCATCCCGTTGTGTACCAAGTTATTCCCACCACCAGTAGTGACCCTACCTATCATCCGACAACTCCTTCTAGGACTTCTCCCAAGGACTCCACAAAAGGGTCTGCTAACAAAGTGAGCCAACCTGCTGATGCTCATGAGAAATCGCCACCTAAGGCCACTATTGAACTTTCACACACCAACGTGGCTGTCTAAAAGACAAACCCGATCGAGGAAGCAATTGTAGTTGACATCACAGGAGATACTGAGATACTTACAGCAGAGTAGATTGTCAAAGACAAATTTGAAGGTAGGTCCCCAATCAATCAAGAAGATGACAATGATGAAAGGGGTGGGGAGGATGAAGGGG